TGGAACAGCCCTAAGCTGGTTTATATCCTACCTACAGGACAGAAAGTATTTTGTGGAGATCGGAAACTGTATCTCAGACCATCTGGCCCTAACCTGCGGAGTGCCACAGGGCTCAATCCTGGGGCCTCTCCTGTTTAATATTTACATGCTGCCTCTGGGTAGGTTAATACACAGTAATAACGTGTCCTATCACAATTATGCTGACGATACTCAGGTCTATGTGTCCCTGACAGCAGGAGAACATGGACCAGTGGACTCGCTCCTTCACTGTATCCAACAAATCAGTGATTGGATGCAAAATAACTTTCTCCAGCTAAACACAGAAAAAACTGAAATTATTGTTTTTGGACCTCAAAAACAAAGAGAGAGCGTTATCTGCCACCTCCAGTCTCTCTCCCTAAAACCCTCAACTCAGGTCAGAAATCTAGGAGTAATAATGGACTCAGACTTAAATTTCAATAGCCACATATCATCTGTGACATCATCAGCTTACTTCCACCTAAGAAACATTGCTAAAATTAAAAACATTGTGTCTAAAGCAGACTTGGAGATTCTTATCCACGCATTTGTCTCCAGTCGATTGGACTACTGCAATGGCTTGTTCACAGGTCTCTCTAAACAAGCGGTAAAACAGCTGCAGTACATCCAAAATGCTGCAGCTCGAGTCCTGACTAGAACCAGGAAGTACGACCACATTAGTCCGGTCCTCAGGTCTCTGCACTGGCTTCCTGTGGCTCAGAGAATAGATTTTAAAGTAGCTTTACTTGTGTACAAGTCTCTCCATGGCCTCGCACCAGGGTACATCCGCGACATGTTGGTGCCATATGAACCAACTCGGGCTCTGAGGAGCACAGGGACTGGACTTCTGTTAGTGCCAAGAGTCGGAACTAGACATGGGGAGGCTGCGTTTCAGATTCATGCAGCTAGAGTCTGGAACCGTCTTCCGAGAGTGTGAGACAGGCGTCTACTCTAGCAGTTTTTAAAACTGAACTGAAAACAGTTCTTTTTAGCTGTGCATACAAGTGAATGATTTTATATTTGTTTTTATCTTTAATCTTTTTAATGCGCTATGATTATTTATGATTATTTATGATTTTAATCCCTTGTGTGATTTTAATGTTTTACGGTTTTTAACTACTTGTGTGATTTTATATATCTTGTGCTCTTAATCTGTCCTTTTATGTTTACTTAAATTCTAATGTTTGATGATTTATGCATGATGTTATATGGGTTGTGAGGCGCTTTGCGTTGCCTTGTGTAGGAAAGGCGCTCTATAAATAAACGTTGATTGATTGATTGATTGATCTGGTTTTTAACGTGCTCCAAACAATCTGTGATATATTTCATTTACTATTAGGTTTTATGTTAGTTCCTGAATTTAAATGTGGACACTTACTGTATCTGTTTCCTTTTACACATTTACAAGCTTCTAAACACACATCTGTCTGAAGAACAGCTCACATCCCCTTTCCAAACAGTGTCAGTCGTTTCTGGACCTTTGAGATTTTAAATTACAAAACGATATCGTGTTCTACGGAAGCTTGTTAGGTTCACTTGTGAGTGTGTTTTTTTTTTTCTGTTGGTATCATGTTATTGCATGATACACAACTATCATGTTATTTCATGATACACAACTATCATGTTATTTCATGATACCAATTTATCAGAAGCTGACAGCTTCTTCTTCTGTATCTACAGTATCATGTTATTTCATGATACACAACTATGAAGTATCATGAAATAACATGATACCAGCGGGAAAAAACACTCACAAGTGAACCTAACAAGCTTCCGTAGTGTTCAGCCATGTTTTTATTGTGTTGTTATGATACGTAACCCCCGAGGCCCGGGGTGTCCAAACTTTTCAGTAAGAGGGCCGCTTTAGTTCATCAGACTTGACGTGGGGCCGAAAACCTGGAATCCTAAAACTGGATTGGGGCTGGATTGACTGGATTCTGGAATTTAAAATTGGTTATGATACGTCCTTTTTGATTCACAGCTGCATTTTATTTGGAATGTTGGGACACATTCTTAAAGCAAATGTCAGTAAATAACAATAAAGCTAACATCTAGACCTTCCAGAGGGTAAAATTGAATTCCCTACAGAAAAACTTTTGGGCCCCATCCTTTTCATATTCTCTAATTCTCACTGCAAATACATCATTTCTTTTCACTTTGAAGTTATTATGAAATTAAGATCAAACCTGAGCCTCTTAGAAAATAACCTGACGGCTAAAGGGTTTAGATGGTGTTGGCTTTTTTAATCTACTGGAGTTGCATTGCCAATATTCCAAACGTTTCTCTATATAAACAAAAACAATTGCTTCTTTTTTATTTCCCTGATTACCTTGGATTAACGTGGACAGGTTCGGTGCAGGACGGAAGCAGCTCCCAATGAGATCGAATCCCGGTTGGAACCAGGGCCTTTCTGAGTGGAGTTTGCATGTTCTCCCCGTGTCAGCGTAGGTTTCCTCCGAGTGCTCTGGTTTCTTCTACCACAAAAAAAATATGCTCAAGAGACAAATCCTCCAGCTCTGGTCCTGACCAAGCCGAGCATCAACAACTGGAGATGGGTTTCCGGGCGCTGTTACTACGGCGACCACTGCTCCTGACGTAAGCCGTAGTGGCATCAGGATGGGTCAAATGCAGAGGGGTAAATAAGGTGCACATTTATATTTATCACCTGGAGAAGCAGATGAAAGACCTACGAACCCGACAGTGGAGTCAGGGGCAGTCTGTGGAGTCTGTGGAGCCAGCTGGCAGTGTTTAATGGAGTGCGGGGGGGGGGGCGCTCCCACATGAATGACAAGTCCAGCCCGGAGACGTCCACTCTGTTATTCTGCTCTTTCCTCTCCATTTCACTCAGCTCTCAAATGTCACCCTGCTCCACCCGAGCATCAGCATCACAATGACACCCTCCACGTGAGAGACGCTCGGACAGAACCACGGCCTGACGAGAGAGAGGTCAGACGCTCGGACAGAACCACGGCCTGACGAGAGAGAGGTCAGACGCCAACATCGACTCACACCAAATGTCAAAGATCCTCAGCGGTACTTCTTCATCGAGGCTGATGTTTGAGGGAGAAGACTCAAATCCACTTGTTTTCTTTGTTATTTTAGACTTTGTTGTTTCTATCGAGAGACGTAGAGCTCTGACTCACACGTACGAGATTAGACTTAGACTTAGACAGATGTTATTGACTGGAAAAGTGCGTTGTCACAGCAGCTTGCATAGGATTCCACACTAATAATAACCTTGAAAATGACCAAGTAACAACCTGAAAATTAGAATAATGAATCTATACATACTACTATACTATATACTATTGTGAGAATAGAATAATCTGGATATAGGTACTCAGGATATGATAGATTATTATTGATTATTGACATTATAGATCATAGCAGCCATTCCCAAAGTCAGTAACACCGCGGCCCCCTTAAAAATCTGACGGGTCTGCGGAGCCCCCCGAAATAATAACCAAGAAGACAACGTTAAAAATAGACTGTTCTCGTAATTTTATTTGGGGGAAATAAAACGTGTAAATGACCATCCCCACTTATACACAAATGATTACAATTTGATGACCCTGCAGTACCCCCGCGGCCCACCAGGAGGCTGCGGACCCCACTTTGGAAGACACTGGATTATAGATTAAGATTATGGTCCTGCAGTGAGATGTCAGTGTTTTATCAGCATTTACAGAAGAGTAGGAAAGAGGAGCACACTTGGACTAAACTGATCCACAACACAAAATAATAGCATCAAATAATCACAATAAAAATATCTAACGCTAGCATAAAATCTTAATTTGTAGCATAATGAGCACAACAACTCTGACTTTAGCTTAACAAAGAAGTTTAACATCTATAAAATCTATACTATATGCACCAATACTGGTATCGGGTCAGTACCATAGACTTGTACTCGTACTCGTCCCGTAGAACCCGATACCCCGGACACATTTTTATTGTACATTAGCGCCACGACAGCAGACAGCAGCGTTGCCATGGTGATCTGCTAAAGTCTGCAGCGAGTCAACAATGTACAGGACTTACATTTAACACGACCTTCTTTACTTTGGGTTGACTTTTTGGTTCCATCCAAATGCAACCAATTAGTTTGAGGTTTGGTGGAAATGTAATGTGTATTAAGAATAAAATATAATAATAATATCTTTGTAAATATGGTGTTTTTCTTTTAGTTTTGGATTACATTTGATCAAATCTTTCATTTTAGCAGTTTTGCTTTTTGTATTTTAATTTTTGCCCCATGTTCGGCAGAAAAACTGTACTCTAAAAAAAATAAAAAAAACCTCCTGAAAAATAAAAAAAATGTTGACATCAGAGCTTTAGAACAAACAAGTCTTTCCACGGCTTTAAAGACTGTATTTACCCGAGTCTTCAGGACCGTGATGTTTCAAGGTGATGACGGAACAAAAGACATCAAAGCTCTTACATGTTCACACCCAGCCCTGGCCGGGTCTTACCGTACCGTAGTACACATTTCATTTGGTACCAAGGTCTGGACTTGATGCTCCAGTGTGTCTCTGTGTGTGATCGAGAAAATATCTGACCCTTGTAAAGTGCCTTTGGGTGACCTCAGTCTGTAAAATGTGCTATTTAAATAAACATTACTTAGAATATTTTAAGCACAATTTGGCCTAAAAAATATGGTATTGTCCAAACACAATTTGACTTTTATTGCCACAGAGTAGTCGACATCTCTTTCACTGCATTCTTTCACGAGCTCATCCTTTGTTATTTTGTTTTCCGAGAAGAGCCGGGCAGAAGGATCTGGAGAGTGTTGTCTGCAGTCATTAAGGCAGGGCCAGAGCTGGGTCCAGTCTGGGAGCAGGGTCCAGTCTGGGTGCAGGGTCCAGTCTGGGAGCAGGGTCCAGTCTGGGAGCAGGGTCCAGTCTGGGAGCAGGGTCCAGTCTGGGCGCAGGGTCCAGTCTGGGAGTCAGGGTCCAGTCTGGGAGCAGGGTCCAGTCTGGGAGTCAGGGTCCAGTCTGGGAGCAGGGTCCAGTCTGGGAGTCAGGGTCCAGTCTGGGCGCAGGGTCCAGTCTGGGAGTCAGGGTCCAGTCTGGGAGCAGGGTCCAGTCTGGGAGCAGGGTCCAGTCTGGGAGCAGGGTCCAGTCTGGGGAGTCAGGGTCCGGTCTGGGCGCAGGGTCCAGTCTGTGAGTCAGGGTCCAGTCTGGGAGTCAGGGTCCAGTCTGGGAGCAGGGTCCAGTCTGGGAGCAGGGTCCAGTCTGTGAGTCAGGGTCCAGTCTGGGAGCAGGGTCCAGTCTGTGAGTCAGGGTCCGGTCTGGGAGCAGGGTCCAGTCAGGTAAACATTGGCGGTGGAGGGCGGGTGTCGGCCGAGCTCCGGTTGCCTTGGTAACGATGCATTGTCAATAAGTCTCAGGAGGAAGCGCCCGCTCCTCGTCTCCGTCAATGATTTACTTTTCTAAATACTCCTGGCGTCTCTTCTGACCTTTGACAGAGTTTGAGGCTTTTCAGTCAATTAAGAGGCATTTTTGAAGCAGCTGCTGTGTTGTGGACCTCACTCAAAAGCCCGCCACGGCTCCAGTTTACAGCATCAACAAACCAAACCTACGGCGGAGGAAGGGCGGCCGTAAGTCTGCAATTACGGAGACAAATCTATTTTTTCACACAGAAGAAAAAAAACACCTTGGGGAGACATTCGTAGGCAGGAAAATCTGACGAACTTGAGAATAACATGAAATCAAGGTGCAGCTAACTAGCGAGAGGACAAGCAGGAAGCAGAGGGCTCGGCTTCAAAGGCGGCTCTCGTTCGGTCCAGAAAGAGCGAAGCCGGAGTTTGCCATATGTCCATCGTCCGCAATTAAGCGCCCGCGTCAGAAAGGGTCTCTTCAAGCGTGGAAATAACGAGAATCGCCAAGCCGGGCACTGTTTCCCGTCTTCATTTGGCACCAGAGAAGGTTTTCCTCTGCTGCGATCCCATCAGGATTAGTGTGGAAGTGGCAGGAATCAATGCGGTTCAGAGTTGGCCTGGATTTGAGCGGCCGAGCGTCCGGCGGGGCCAGTATTAGCCGTAATCTCTGCCCCTCTCTCCACAGCGGTCAGAGCATTCACCTGGAGAGGACTGAGGGCAAGGGCAGCCCGAGGAGGGATCCACTGAGACTGGTCTGTGTGTGGGGCAGGACATACAACCACAGTCTGTGTGTGGGGCAGGACATACAACCACAGTCAGTGTGTGGGGCAGGACATACAACCACAGTCAGTGTGTGGGGCAGGACATACAACCACAGTCTGTGTGTGGGGCAGGACATACAACCACAGTCTGTGTGTGGGGCAGGACATACAACCACAGTCAGTGTGTGGGGCAGGACATACAACCACAGTCTGTGTGTGGGGCAGGACATACAACCACAGTCAGTGTGTGGGGCAGGACATACAACCACAGTCAGTCTGGATCAGCAGGTTGTTTCTGATGTTTGGGAATGAGTTTAGAAGTTTGGTACGTAATGTAAGTAGTAGTAAGTAAGCTTTATTTATATACCGCCTTTCACAGACCAGAGTCACAAAGCGGTTTACAATTGTTATTTTTTGGGCATTTGTCTCTCACTCCACACAGAGATGGGAGCGGGGCCAGTACAGGAGGCACATGTTAGAACTATTGGACATATTTTTAGTGGTAGGAGGAAACCTACGCAGACACGGGGAGAACATGCAAACTGCACTCAGAAAGGCCCTGGTCCGGCCGGGATTCGAACCCAGGACCTTCTTGCTGAGAGGCGAGAGTGCTAACCACTCAGCCACCGTGCCGCCCATGCATCTTGAATGGTACTGAATGATTTGTGCTTTGTAAATAAACTTGTAGTGATTGATTTGTTTTAGGCCTTAGACAGATTTATGGACAACTGTTGGGTGTTTGTGTGTATACAGGGTTGTGTAGCTTTCAGTTGAAGCCGTGGGAAATGCGTTTTGTGTTGCCAATACTTACTTACAAGTCTACATAGTAATGCATATTTTTTAGAAAGTTTCTCCAGTTTTTTAATGTGTGAAGTAGTAGTAAGTAATCTTTATTTATATACCGCCTTTTCACTGCAGATCTGAGTCTCAAAGCGGTTTACAATTGTTAATTTTGGGCATTTGTCTCTCACTCCACACAGAGATGGGAGCGGGGCCAGTACAGGAGGCACATGCCAGAACTATTGGACATATTTTTAGTGGTAGGGGAAACCGGAGTACCCGGAGGAAACCTACGCAGACACAAGGAGAACATGCAAACTCCACTCAGAAAGGCCCTGGTCCGACCGGGATTTGATCCCAGGACCTTCTTGCTGAGAGACGAGAGTGCTAACCACTCAGCCACCGTGCCGCCCCGAAGCAATAATTCTGTATGTTTTTTTCTGTCACATGATTTCCTGTCATGTGAAAATGTCTGATTTTTATTATTATGAAACACCAAACAGATTGGCGGTCCATTTTTAATACTTTTATATGTTTTTTCTCTTCAACAAAGTGCCTCAGACTCCTTTTCTCTCAATCACCAAACATTGAGTCAAAAACATCCTGCATCTACATAGTAATGTTTAGTTTCATAATTGCATATGTCTAAATGACTAACATTTACTTTAGAGATTCTTGATTGACAGAATCCAAGTAAACAGATAAATACTGATCATTGAGCTGTGCGGACACTGTAGTATACGACATTACATTTTAACATTTTATATTTCAAAGTATCATTTTATCTACTGATATATAACGCAAAATATAACGCATTGAGATTGTTAGAAAAACCGTTGGCTGCTCTACGATTGTGAGTGGTTCTTTAACGTAAAGCTTTATGAATGTCTTAGAAATAGAAAAGCTCTTTATAAAAATGTCCGTTTACCGTGTAGCACTAAGACCTTTATCGAGCTGAAATATTGCATTCGCTCGAACATGTTTTGAGAAATGGACGGATGTTCCTGAGAGTGGTTGTGCAGCCTGCTCCTCGGCCATTAGCCCGGTGTGGGGAGAGCTCCGCCACTCAAGCTAGGCTCCATTTTCCCCGCGCTGCAGTCGGCACTCTCCATCGCTGCTTTCAGCACAAATTAGTTATATTAAGTCAGTGACTAATCGCCCCAGTGCATTTGCCGTCCAGCCGTAGCTGTCTGGATCCATAGGTAATGCTAACCCCGTACAAAACCCAGACCAGCTCAATTGATAGCAGCCCCCCAGGCAAGGACGGAGAGGAAGGAGAACAGGATGTCATCTAATTCAATGAAATAGACATTACCCAGCCCTCACAACGCGCCAGGGCATGAGTAATCAGACACAAATTCTTTTTAGTGCCCAAGAGCCCGGGATTGCTTTCAATTAAGGCCAGAGTTAGAGCCACTGTGGAAGTGTGGAGGTGGGACTCCCAGACACAACTCAGATCCGTTTGGTTGACGGGCAAATGTGCTCCGTATACTTCTTCAGGAAATGTTTTGTTGAAAATATATAAAGCCATCACACATTTTATTACTGCATGTAGAAGTACAGATGGAAAGATACTTTATTGACCCCCGTCGGAGAAATTCAGGTGTCGAGTAGCATCATCATTCTAAAAAGATAACTATAATAATAATAACAACAGTCCTTCAGGTCACAGCAGAATCCTCTCTGCTCTGGTTTGGACCAGTGTAAAACCATGAATCCTCTCTGCTCTGGTTTGGACCAGTGTAAAACCATGAATCCTCTCTGCTCTGGTTTGGACCAGTGTAAAACCATGAATCCTCTCTGCTCTGGTTTGGACCAGTGTAAAACCATGAATCCTCTCTGCTCTGGTCTGGACCAGTGTAAAACCATGAATCCTCTCTGCTCTGGTCTGGACCAGTGTAAAACCATGAATCCTCTCTGCTCTGGTCTGGACCAGTGTAAAACCATGAATCCTCTCTGCTCTGGTCTGGACCAGTGTAAAACCATGAATCCTCTCTGCTCTGGTCTGGACCAGTGTAAAACCATGAATCCTCTCTGCTCTGGTCTGGACCAGTGTAAAACCATGAATCCTCTCTGCTCTGGTCTGGACCAGTGTAAAACCATGAATCCTCTCTGCTCTGGTCTGGACCAGTGTAAAACCATGAATCCTCTCTGCTCTGGTCTGGACCAGTGTAAAACCATCAACACTGAACTGCAGCAACATCTCAGGCAGAAAAAAGTAAGAAAACAAAAAATAGTAAAACCCAAAACAACAGTTTCAGAGGCAGTTTGGACTCGCTGCTGTTTCCAGAACATTCTAAAGATGTAGAAGTAACCTTTAATGGACTCACACGGTTCTTCACAAGTTAAAATGAGACGGTCAAAAGAACACATTAAAAAACACACACAAAAACAAAATGAAAGTGTATTGTTGTTCATGTGTGTACTGGTTTTTTTGCTGATACGAGGCTCTGACCCACAAAGCAACACAGCGACATGTCTTTGGTATGTTTCTATAAGTTATCTTAAACCTGCGACTTTAAGGGTGTATTCAGACCTGCACATTTGCTCCACTTTAAACGGACCAGGATTCGTTTGGAACTCTGATCCGAAGCTTTTATGCAGGTCTGAATACACGTGTCAATATGTTTATATAAAAAAGTTCACTTGCAAAAAGGACAGTCTGAATACGAACCGGAGCAAAAGAAAAAAGTTTAGTCCGCTTTTGATTCGGATCAAGCAAGCGGAGCAAAGGACTTTTCAGGTCTGAATACACCCTAAGTCACACAAACAGCCACTACTTTACTTAAAACACACAATAAGAGCAAAAGAAATCAAAATAATGTTTCTTTCTGGCTCTAACATTACTCTGTATTTTATTCATGATGGTTTAGCGGGGGGCGGTGGGGGCAGGGGCAGGGGCAGGGGGTGGGTGTTGATGGGACTCTGTGATCCAAACAGAGTGTGTAGGCTGCGAGCTGAGGATTCATGCATTTATTCAGCTCTGCTCGGCTCAACCTCCACCAACGCCCAGCCTTTGTTTATCTCTAAATAAAGTCCTCTGGAGGCTGCATCTTCTCAAGTTGTTTTTAGATTTGATTTTCAGACTAAATGGGATTGGATTTGATAACAACGTCATGTTTGTAAGCACTCAGCTCCATCAGCTTCTCCTCCAGTAATGGAACGCAGGATCCAGGCCCAAGGTCCACAGTCTCTATCTCCACATCAGCAGCACAACCTTCATAACGGACCATGCTGTTAAAACATTGATTTACAGATTCTTATCCATGAACCAGTTGGAGAAAAATGGGGGATGGATGGGAGACCATTTGAGGTGCCACAGTGATAACAATAATAATAATAACAATAATTTCTAGATACGCAAGGTAAGCTAACGGCAGGACGGCTGAAGTACCGAGCTAACAAGTGTGAGATTTCATAACACTTTGAAGCAACTTTTGTTAAAGTTAAACTCATCATTCTATCAATGTGCAGAAGCCAGTACTTTTCCCTTGTTTTGTCTATATGAAGGCCAAGCTACATGGCACTGTGGCAGCTGCTGATTCTGATTCTGTTGTATCTGTTGTTCGTGTTGTCTCTACCATCGACAATAAAACATGTCTTCTGTCTGAATTTAAGACACGATCCCAGACTATGTCATCTTCTTCACAAGGAAGCACCGATTGTCAAAGTTTGGGCCGATACTTAACAAAAAACTTGAAGCTCGGTCAAAACAGACAGCCAAAGCGCTCCTCAGATTCCCAGTTGGAACACATGGCGCTAACATGTCACAAACTTCAGTGCAAGATTTCAACAACATGGAGTTCTGGAGTGCTAAGGACCCTCATTGTTAGCCATTAGCGGCACAGTGGCAGAGTAGTTATCCCTCTCTCCTCAGTCTCTGCCCATCTTAGAGACTGTAAATGATTTTAAGTCCAATCTTAAGACCATTTGTAATGTATTTTATCCGTCTGTTGTGTTTGTGCGTGGCTCGGCTGCCTCTTAACCAGGACTCCTTTGAAAATTCTTAATCTCAACAGGGTTTTTCCTGGTTAAATAAAGGTTAAATGAAAATAAACAGACATATTCCGTTTTAGTGGAGAAACAAAAACATGTGTTGCTGCTTCTTTAACCTCTAAACGTGTTATAAAACGCATGACCTTTTTATGGCTTTAAATATTGTAATGTTTTAAGTGGCTGCGACGACATTCCCATAGTCTCTTCATCTGTGGCCAAGGGAGCGCAGGTGAGGAG